TGTGTGTGTATATATATATATATATATATATATATATATATATATATATATATATATATATATATATGTATATATATATATGTATATACACACGTGTATATGTGTATGTTGGGTATAGCGATAGAAAAACTCGTTCCGTGACATACACGGGCGATTGCTAAATAATTTACTATGATCAGGCGCCGGGGCAGGTGTGCGTAAGCATCTTGATTTATTATTATTATATTAAATATTTAATTACATTAATTTAATAGCTTTCTAGTTGTTCTCTGCATCGTTAATGATATTTAGTCAAACACAACAATCGAGGCTGTTGCAGAGTGTGTTGCACGGTGACAGACTATATATATATATATATTTATATTTATATATTTTTATTCCTTTTTCTTCCATTTTTTTCTTCATTTTGGATCTTCCTCGTTTACTCGGTTTGATCGGGTTAGACTATCATTGATTAGGGCTAGATTTTAGTCCCCTGCGACCTGCCTTACCGTTTCACAGCATGCTCCACATTCGTGTCTTAAAATCTGGTCCGATGGCGACGAAGCTTCTCAACTTCGTCGTCTTTATCATAGTAACGGGTCGCGAAGAAAAAGCGCATTCTATCTCTTAACATTCAGACGACGAGTTCAAGTTGGGTGGAGACAGCTTCTTGGTCCGCGTAAGACGATCTAATTCCGCCACCGCGTCGTTACACATCGTGGCTTTGTCCACCGGTGCGCTATCTATAATTCGGTACGAAACATTATTGTCGTGTGATGTTATCGCGGAATAAATAGATTATAGATGCGTAAAACAGTATCGCGTACCGATTTTTATGGGACTCGCTCCTACGCTGCCTGGCGTGCCGGGTGAGCCGGGTGGAACTCCGCTTTTCTTGTAGAGAAGAGAATTGAAGAAATTAGCTAAAACACCCTCCCCAGACGGCGTCGCACCGGTGCCCTTGGGATCCAACTTCTTGTTCGGCGACGCCACCTGTTCGCAAAATCGTTAGTACCTGTCCGCTATCGTAGGAGGTTTAATGGCCTGATGTAATGGACAGATCATACCACATAGATTAGAACATGCTTTCAAATGTTAACTGCATTAACCACACGAAGATGACTGCTGGAATAGAAAGTATATTACGTGGACTGTTAAACGAGACGATGTGTTCGTTGCGCAGCATGATTACTAGAAATTATACAACGTATGTGTAGGTGTGATTTTGATCGTCTCGTTTGTCTCTCTTTATTTAAAACTTAAATTGCTATACGCGTTTAAATGAAACGAGTGGCTTGAAATCGGATATGATAGGAAATTACGGCACGATGTCGCTATGTTAATGCGCTCCATCAAACGGGTTCGTGAGTACATAACAAGCGAGTATGGACGTTCCTATAAAAGCGCAAGCTCGTAATACAAGGACAAAAGTACTTTTAACATCAAATAATGAATGGGTCGTCTATATGATCAAGTGAAACAGCTATGCGAGTATGATTAAATTGCACAACGCGAACGAAAAACAAAAACAGATATTACGAGATTACAAAACCGTTGGTTAGAATTTCACAAATACAATGAAATAAATGGACTCTAACAACTCATGACTGCAATGAAGAAATTAGTTGTGCAACACTGTCGTCTTTTGAGCGTCGCATCTCTATTATTCACATGTAACATGAAGAGCATGCTCTATATATGAATGGTATAACCTGTATAACTGGCCCGGTGCTTGCCTGGTTCCGAGTGGTCGGAGAACGAGTGGGGTCTTTCAAGCCTGACAGAGCGGCCTGTTGCCTCGCAAGAAAAGCTTGCTCCTCCTCCGCCTGAATCTCCATTTCTCTCGCAACACACTGTATAATCCGACATACGAACATTAATAAATTATTTTGCATTACATACATATACATACCGATATATGCATTATGTTGACATCGTTTTAGGTACAAATCAATATAGTAGCACGTACTTTTCGATTGGTCGCTGGTTGCGCAATAACATCGCGATAGTAATCGCTCGCCTTCATGGACTGCAAATTCTCGTGCAGAATGCTAATCTTCTTCATGTTGTCCCAACCAGCGGGTCTGCAATAGATGTGCGTTAATGTAAAGGAAAAACAAAAAATATCTTTTCTTCTTGATTATAAGAACCATAGTCTTACATAAGTACTGCATCCTTTTCAACAACCAGAGCTGGTGTCCTGAACGGTAAAGAATAAATCCTATGCGTAAGATACTTATAAAGCAAATCACAGTTCTTATCCTCCTTCGCCGATGTGTAGAAGAGACCAGCGCCATATTGCAAGCAAAACCGCCTGATCCATTGCTGCATAAAGTCGAAGTGTTCGTCTCTGTTTGAGAAAGAAAATTTAAATTAGATCATGAAAAAAATCGATAAAATTAAGATTAATATATCGTCGATGAATCACACTTCCCGACCACTAGGAATCCTTCACTCACTTGTAATCCTGTTCCTTCTCGAGAGTAGACATGTAATCGGTTTTCGTTATGACCACGACGATGTCTAGGCCCAGATTGGTTATAAGTACTCCTTCCGGCAGAGGTAAGCCTTCAGCGGTGTCGTCGTCCAGATTACGACTAGTGCGTCGTAGAGGACTTCCGGGATCAAGCTCGTCTCCCGGTTCTGTGTAATCTTGCCACTTTTTAATATCTAAGGGAATAAAGTTGCGTTTCTTAGAAAATCTAACGCCGACTTTTCATTAATAAAAATGCAGATTGAACCTTAGCCTTTGGAATTCCAAAAATTCAACTAGATTATGAATAAAAATAAAGGCCCATATTCTGAATCCTCTTTTATCTATAAAAATGCCTCTAAAAGAGGCTTAGGAGCCACCTGATTGACTGAGAAGCTACATTTAAGGCACTTTTATCGATAAAAGAGGATTCAGAATATGGGCCAATGTGTCCAGCAACAAAGCAGAGAATAAGAAGTATTTGCATTAATAACATTTAGGCAATTATACAGAATTATACATCACTATAATTTCCTCACCAAATTATCACAATTTGAAATGACCTAAGTGTTTTCACATTTTTTCATTAGAGTTATTGACAGATGTATATCTACATTCAATTCTACTTACTAAACTGCCTGCACCGTTGCCTAGTGTCATTATCTAAGGGTAATTTGTCAATATGATCGCCTAATAGTGCCGCCCATGATTGAAGCTGATCTAGAATTGCCCATGGTGTAGTCATGGCAGCGACTAACATAACAAGCGTATGTGGAAACCTCTCTTTGTTCAGAGCAAATCTCAAAAGATTTGCGTGACCCGGGTCTCCATCCAGAACCCATACTGATAATCTCGTCTGATCTGTAATGGAACCATATTTTGTATTGTCTGTCGAGATCAATTGATCATCAAAAACCCCTAAATCATGTACACACCGTCTCTGTAATCATCTCTAACATCGATATATGCAAATTCTAATCCAGATCCTTTCTTTGGATCCTCCACACCTTGCAGTTTAGCTATAAGTGTAGTCTTCCCACTCTCATTGTCACCTAAAAGACCATATTATTATGTGCATTCATATATACAATTATTACAATATAGTAATATAATGATGGTAATATCTTATGTTACAATAACATCTTGTCGTGTACTATCGTAATAACAGTATCTTGTTACTACGATATCATAATAGTAGTATCTTAATCATATTGTATTTAGCATTAATAATTCATAAGAAGTACAAACATCAATGTGTCTATATACAGTAAAAAGTACATATTTTACTGATATAACCTAACAGTATACCATAGCAGAAAGTCACGATATATGAAAAAACAATAATAAGAGAATAGATTTATATCAAATAATTAAGTAGTACAGATATGGCGACGTGACGCTTTTTGACGCTGTCGATGACACATGCATCAAACAGCAGCGTGTGCTTAATATGCAAGGTACATCGACATAGACTATGAGCTCTAGGAAAAACATCATTGAGTCATTACCTAAAACAAGGACGTTTTTGTTCGACGGTAGTTTGTTGTTGCCGCTGTTCTGCACTTCCGCCAGAATAGACGACCTGCGAAACATACGATAACATCGAGTGAGAGACGGTTAAAGCGGTCGGACGCGAAATTTTTCTCACGGAGGATGCCCATGTGAAGGAGGACGGCATCACTCGCACAACGAAGCAGAAACGATCAGAAACGAACGGCCAACTCATGAGGCACTCTGATACACAATCAACATCGCATGATCCGCGCACGTACCACAAATTGTCCTTATTGTCGACGTCCTCTTTCTTTTTCGCCTGAAAGCTATTGCTCTGCAACATCGTATCAATCGCCGTCGCTGCCATGATTATCCATTTGACAGGAATAAGGATATCGATTGCGTGCGCGCGAGAGCGAGCGGGGAGTGCGGATGTGGTGCCGAGGAATCGATTTTCTCCCACTCCGACTTCGAGCCGTCGTTGTTCACCACCTATTCGATTATCGATCCCACATCACGATAATCGAAAGGTCGACTTGCGATAACTTTAATCTCTGTTCTCCAATAAGAAAGATGGAGATGCCAAACATCGAGAAGAATATCGAGATTTTAGTAATGGAAATGTTGTAAAATCGAATAATTTTTAACCTGTGCATTGTTGATTAATTTTACATGTGCTAAATGACCACAAATACCCTAGAGGAAGGTCGACAGCACGGTGCTTAGGTGCCAATCTTTAAGAAAAAAAAAAAAGATTAATTTTACAGATATAACATGGCTCAAGCGTATGACAATTATTACAATGATTATCACAAAAATGCTGAATTGCAACAAAATTTGAAGTACAAGAACAAGTATCAGAAGCTCAAGAGAATCGTGAAGAACACAGTATTTGTAAGTTGTTTGGAAACACATATTCCAACCTTTATTCACAACACCAGACATAATTTAGCTTCTAATGTAGGAAAATGCAGCACTTTGCGATCAGGTAGCACACATGCAAGAAAACCTGATGCTCGTCAAAGAAGAGAGACTGTTTCTTTTGCGTAAGTTATGTCAACAACAGGGAGAGATAGAGTCCAGTTCTATGATAGCACGCTCACAGTCAAATGTCAATTCACCGTCACTCAATCCAGAATGTGCTACACCCAAGAAGACAGTAAAAAAGAGAACTTCCACAGATGGTTCAGGTAGGTCTTTCTAACATTATCAACTGGCTATAAAATGCTAGCATACTGTATAAATAAATCTCTATTATTAATATCAATATACATTTAAGAAACTTGCAATTTATGTGATAAAGAATGTTTATAACTGATAACAAAATCTGTGTATTTGCTGAAACATCTCTTTTACAAGAATTCTCTTATAATTAATCTCTCCTCTCTCTTGCAGAGACAAAGAGTAAGACAAAAAGATATAACAAAACTGCCAGAAGAGTGGTACAGTTGATTCCATTGGATATGCATGGGAGGCCAATATTTCCAATAGCTTTGGGAGACCTCACAATATATTCTCTTGGTGAAGTTGTGTCAGATCGAATTGCGTATCACACAGAGGACCTTATCTTTCCAGTGGGCTACTGCAGTACTAGAGTATACGCTAATTTGAGAGATCCACGAACCAAGAGTTTATATACTTGCAAAATATTGGATGGTAATTCAAAACCTAGGTAATGAACTGTAATGACAAGTGGGAACGATAATAATTTGGAGAAGACATAAGAAACTATTTTATTGTTTTTACAGATTCGAGATAGTATCCGATAACGACCTGGCTCAACCACTAGTGGGATCTAGCCCTGACGAGTGTCACTCCAAATTGTTGGCAGCGATTTCTCCGACACTTCGTTCGATAATGCCAAAGGGTGCAGATTTCTTTGGGATTTCTCATCCCACTATACAGAATTTGATACAAAGTTCTTCAGGAACGCGTAAATTGGCCATATACAAACAGCAGCGTTTCGAAGTATGTGTGCAATATATTCCAGCTGAAATGCACTGGTCATTTTAAATCGCGATAACTTGAAAGGAAGAATCGTGGTTCTATTTTAAAAATTATCATTATCATATAATTGTATTTTACAGGTAAGCAAAAATCAAATGATTGATCAAGCTGCAAGTCCAATAACAGAAGTGGAAACTGATCCAGGGTTGGGTTTCGCAGCACTACATAGACATTACACATTGAATTCTTATAGAGTGAAAGAGGAACCTTCGGATCACGATCTGCTAACGCTGCAAGATCTTCTCTCGTGATTATGAATGCCAATACGAATGAACTTTGTTTTATTGTTAAGAGTAGATAAAATTAATCTCTTGAATCAAAACGTCCATCAATTATTACTGTTTTTTTTTATGTTTAAATCGTTGATGCAATCAAAATATTTTTCAATATTTATATAATATTTATTTAAGCCATAGTGTATAAAATGATTGATTTCATGACAAAAGTAGTAAATATTAGTTGCTCTAGCAGTATTATACAAATTGAAATGTTCTTATTATATACTATTAGCAGTATTTTATCGTTATATTCACGACACTTTCCGTTTATCTTAATTTTCCATGAACTCATTTTTCGGACGTATCATCCTATGAGTGATATATGAATGATATGTATGGCACGATGCATATTTAATAATCGGTATCAACAGACTCGATTGACTAAAATGTCTATCGGCGTCTATGCATAATGTCCCTTCAAATTAAATTACTTTGTTTGGTCTTAATATAACATCCGTAATAATAAATAAGAATATAAAATAGTCGTGTGCACAGAGCACCATACTATAATATAGAATTGTCTTAATATCAGGAATAATATTTCAGCGCTACTTTCTATCGATATTATATCGTAACTGGACTGGATATCTTACTTGTCGTGTAGAGCGTATTATTTTTATAATAATATATGTTTATAATACATGTTTATAACACAGCGCCGATTGGAGATCACAAATTCGATATTGAAAAATGACTAGCTACAGCGTAAAAAGCTTAAAACACGCCAATTCTGATAAAAGTTGTTCAATAATTTCAAGTTTGTGTGTCACGATCGAGCAAGTCGTACGTGCAGTTATACATCAACCATCATAAATGCTCTTCATCATTTTAAAATACGCTATAAATGAATTGTGCATTTTAAAACGATGCAAGATTTATCATGCTTTTTGTACATACCTTAGGTTATAGTAGTAAATAAATATTTGTACCGATTGAAAGTCCCTTTACATACCAATTAAGATATGACCGCGTATTTTCTTCGCGATTTAAATGTCGATAAAAAGTATAAAATTTGCATTATTATTTTAATCTTGTTTAATGTTAAAAGATAAACATATTTTTCGCACGTCATCCCCTGATGACTTTGCCTAAACGATAAAAGAATACCATCTCCTGCAATAGCAAGTAATATATATCCAAAAATTTTCCCAATGCTATCTCTTATGTAGCAATTATTTCAAATGTATTGTGAAAAATGAAGATTACTACATACATTATTTGTCTTTTTATTGCATTAAAGTTGTCACCGTCTGTGCGCTCGTCCAATGGTTCTGTTGAAAAGTGTGTTTGCTATTGCAATTACCGGCGAAAATAATTTCAATGGGTAATCACTGAAACCATTATCATGTTAATGAATAAATAATAGAACAAATAAATACGTGTTAAATTTAAAAACGTACCACACTCCAATTACGGGTTCTGCTTCGTTCCCACTTACAATAAACAGGGGAAACAATATGGAAAAAACACAGCCACTGAAAAAAAAACATGTTTTTCATAATAATATTTTACTATTAATGCGCAATGTGAATCTTCCTCGTAATAAAAAATTATTATTTTAATGTGAATAAAGTCTATTTATTTTAAAATCCTTAAGATATGTTCAAGATATATTTAAAAAAAATAAAAAATTGAATGAGAAAAATAGATATTGTTCGAGTATCGAAAAAAAAAATCGGGAAAACTACCATACCTTGTAAAGTGCGTAATCGAGCAATTCGTGTCATACCTTGTAAAGTACGAGTTGGGCAGTTGGGTAAGTACTGCTAATGGCAGACCAAAGCCTACAAAATATGGCCAATTGCCTTCAATAAAAGTCAATCGCCTATGCAACTCCCAGCCCATATTGAACCACTTGTATTCGAAGGCATAGAGAGCGTATAAAAGGCACATATGGACAAGAGCAAGAAGTTCGCCTAGCAAAGGTAGAGGAACCTTGGATACCAACATTCCTTGTCCCAAGAACAAAGCTTGAACTAATATGCTGAAAAGCGTATCAGCTATCAGTTTGCTCACGCTTGACAAAAGCATTGGTCTCCCTTGTCTGTATCTATAAGCGCTGTCTGCTATATCCTACATGGAGTATATCATATATAATTGTACTAATGTATATTCTATGTTACACACAGATGTGCATTATATCTAATGGTATCTAATTATGTAAATAATGGAAGAAATTTTGTATACTCTGTGAAAAATCATACCTGAAACCATAAGCTGTTAACTATCCTGCTGAGCAAGAACAATGGTAGTACCCATACAGTACCAAATATAAAAGATAAAAATGGCTGAATCCATGACCATACAGTGAGCGCAGTGCTAGAAGAATGGCCGAATATAAGAATAAATAAGTACTGAAGAAACGGCAGGAGTCCATAATCGAATATCAGTATGCTAGCCCAAAATACACCACCATTGAACGCGCAGCATTCAATAGTCCTTTTCAGCACTTTAGACTCTCTGGAATTATACAGATTAATTTATTCTGTAATCATAAAACATTTATATCTGTTCTTTGTTAGGATGTAATAATAAAAATACCGTTGTTGACTGCTATGCTTGGAGGGACTGTGTGTAACTAAATCTCTCTTTCGAAGATCTGTTATGATAGGAGACTTCTTGACCAATTTCTCATTAATTTGCTTATCCATATAAAAGAGGACAATAGCACCCTTTAAACTGTCCACAAACCCCCGATATATCGCATGTATTATACTCTGCGGATACAAAATATGTATTACACAAGCTATAAATATATTCATACAAGTATATTGGATCAGTCAAAAAGTTCAAGTTCTGAGTTAAATTTTACTTTGTTGTATTCAACAGAAACATATTTGGCAATCAAGTATTTATTGTCTATGACTCTTTATTAATGTTCTGGCAATCATAGATCGGTTCATCATCCAAAAAGGTAAAATATATTAAACTTTTTTACTGATACAAAAATAAAAGAAATATTTAAAAAGAATTACACAAGACTTTAAAGATATATACTCACTAAAAAAAGTAAAACCTTCTTAATGAACATTAGTACAAAAATCGATTCTTCTTTCTGAGTAAATTTGTGCTAAGAAAAAGGCAACACCAAAATTTGATATTTGAGGCTTTCAATATAGATAATGATTTATTTGACTTTTGGGTTGTTATTGCGTTTCTTCCTTTATAGATTTGTTTCTAATATTTCGTGAAACATAAAACCTCAAACTGTTTCAAATATTCCTCTTCCTAAAGAAATGAACTAGGATGCTCTTGAAATATTGGAAATCTACAAAAGACATGGCGCCAACCCGGAAGCCAAATTGGGCACTTAAAAAAAACGTGTGGAAAGTTAAAAAAATTATTCCTACAATAAAAGAGCAGAATTATACCATAACTTTTGATATAACCTGTTCTGGCATTGCTAGTTACGTGTTAAGCATATTACTAAATATATATTAAGTATTTATATATCCAATTTTTAACATAGATTATTTATACAATATATAAAGAATATGTGCAAAAATGTCTAGAGTACAATATCTAAATGTATTGCTGTTATATATATACACTAATAGCGGGGTCACTCAGCAAAGCAGTGAATCACGCCTGTGCCATTACAGACTAGACACGACGCGGGATCAAAGTCTACTCACTGTCACGTTATTCATTATATATTTGTCGACGACGATGCTCAGGCAAGATATGGATTAATCTAAACTGCGAAAACATGCGGAGTTACGCCGGACGGTCATTTCGTGCAGTACGAGGAACGACGTGCTGCGGGCGTTACGGGCCGCAAGAAAACAAATGGAACTCGCTGAGAGCACGTGTTCACCGAGTCTCACGAATCGATGGCACGAGGTTCAAGTCGCGTTCAAGGGCCGTGCGTGCAATGAACGACGCCAATTTCGTCGCGTTACCCGACGACCGACGACGAGTCCCGTTGTTCGCAACTCCATCCCCCTCCACTCCCACGCGGTACATACACCGATATCCGGGGCCCCCAGTCAGCTAAAAACAACGCGCCGGAGCATCAGCTGACGGGTTACAGTCGCAGTGAGAGGTCGCTGAAGCCACACTCACTGCGACTTCTCGACTGCTTGGTGCTGACATCTTTCATGAGTTCCGCGAAATCCGTGCTGACTCGCGAGTCACGTGACATGTCTTTCAAATTGCTGGATTTGTAAAATAATGTACTTGTTTTCATTCTTTTCTTACAAAAAGATAGTAAAGAGGAAGATGCCCGTTCGTATCAAAAAACCTGAAGTACAATTATGTTTATTTACAGAGATATTGAATAAATCTTGGCAACAAAAGCTAAAATTAAATATTGGAACAGCATTATTTTCTATCGTCGTCAAATCTTTTCGTGAATACGAAAGCACTGATGCGTTATGTGTAAACATGAAACGTTTCAATAGACAAAGCTGTTGTCGAAATTTTTAAAATCAATCCAAGATGCATCTTTGATTTTAAAATATATATTCTCTTCTTATCGTTAAACAAATTCTTTCAGTCACTATACCAAACTTTATATTGCATTCCGAAGATTAGAATGGAAAATATGACAACTTCAATACGTATAAATATTGATATAATGATTCATATGTGTGTGCAATTTACTCAAGTAATTCTTATCATGCTAATAAATAATTCTATCAAGGAATCATCATAAACCATCATCCGTGAAACGATGATTACCTGCGAATTATCTCCATCAGAATTTATTAGCTTATTATTGCAGTTAATATTTATTGAACGAATATAGCTGAAGTTGAAATAAAAGTATATAAAAGAAAGGTATTTTTGTTTATGTAAAGTTAAAAAATATTTGTATACACTAATCGTTAATATGATATTAAAATTAATATTCGAGATAACAATATCTCGATTTCTATTTTGGTTATTTTTCTATTTTCTCATTTAATATTAAGTCAATGGCCAATGTTTGCGTTCTCAAACCAGAAAGTATCACCCATTTAGTTAAGCATTATATATCAAATTACTATTTACATCCGCTCGATCAGGGATAATAGACTTTAACGACTTCCTGCATTACGTGCTGTTGAAAGGTCACCATAATTTAACGTGATAGGTGCACCTTAATATGCTTCCCGATATAGCACACGTAATATATCTCAGTTCAATTGAGCTAAAAATATTCTGTATTCTATTTTTATATCTACTAGAACAACACAGCTGATAGATTTAGCTAGTAATTCCATGAAATAATGTTGGAAACATTTTTCCGATATTTTTCATGAGAGAAAAGAGATTATTTAGAGAAAAATATAATTTAGTAAGAATTTCTTAATCTTTTGTGATAATTTCACTATATCATGTGTATGTATACAAGAACTTTATCCACTTGGCATCTTAAAACAGTAAAACATATTTTATTAGTTTTCATCTTATTGTATAATGTGTATATATTATCTAATTTTACAAACTTATTTATATTTTTTTATACTGTGTAATACATTTAATAATATTCCAAACAGTAATATGTTCAGTTTTCACTAATCTTCATCGTGTATCTGCACAAGCACTTTCTTTAAATCCTTGCTCTTTCTAGAAATAGCAAATATATATTGTACAGGATGTTCTATCTGTAAAAAAGATTCATATTTTTATGTATTATTGTATTAGCATTAAACAGATTACCTAATACATCAGGATTGAGAAATAAGCATTACATAATACTATTAAGATTACAAGTCACTTTGTATCTGCAATTGTTTAATAAGGATAATAATCTTTTTAAATATAACTGTAATAGTAGTAGACTTACATTTTCTGGTTGACAATTACAAATACAATTAAGATTTCTGTAGTTAGTTTGTGAATACATGTAGAAATGTATACATGAGACCTACGATATCAAACTGTCAAGAAAAGGATCTTCAAAACTTGATGTAAACAGCACTAACTCAGTACTTCTTGTAATAAATTATTACTTCTTGAATAATAGTAATAATATTGGATAATTTTTCAAAATTAGTAATGATAATAATCTTCTCAATTGGTAATGAGTGACTATTACGCAATGTTATTAAGGTTACATGTCACTTTATGTCTGCAACTGTTTAGTAAGGACAATAATCTTTTCAAATATAACTGTAATAGTAGTAGACTTACATTTTCTGGCCAACAATAGCAAATACAATTAAAATTTCTGTAGTTAGTTTATGAATACATGTAGAAATGTGTACATAAGACCTACGATATCAAACTGTCAAGTAAAGGATCATCAAAACTTGATGTAAACAGCACTAACTCAGTATTTCTTATAATAAATTATTACTTCTTGAATAATAGTAATAATATTGGATAATTTTTCAAAATTAGTAATGATAATAATCTTCTCAATTGGTAATGAGTGACTATTACGCAATGTTATTAAGGTTACATGTCACTTTATGTCTGCAACTGTTTAGTAAGGACAATAATCTTCTTAAATATAACTGTAATAATGGTATACTTACATTTTCTGGTTGACAGTTGCAAATACAATTAAGATTTTTGTAGTTAGTTTGTGAATACATGTAGAAATGTGTACATAAGACCTACGATATCAAACTGTCAAGAAAAAGATCTTCAAAACTTGATGTAAACAGCACTAACTCAGTACTTCTTGTAATAAATTATTACTTCTTGAATAATAGTAATAATATTAGATAATTTTTTAAAATTAGTAATGATAATAATCTTCTCAATTGGTAATGAGTGACCATTACGCAATATTATTAAGGTTACATATTATTTTATGTCTGCAACTGTTTAGTAATAACAATAATCTTTTTAAATATAATGGTAATAGTAACAGAATTATATTTTCTGGATAATAATAACAAATATAATTAAGATTTTTATGATTAGTTTGTGAATACATGTAGAAATGTATACATGAGATCTATAATATCAAACTGTCAAGTAAAGCATCCTTAAAACATAATGAAAACAATAGCAACTCAATAGTTTTTGTAGCAATGCATTGCTTTTTAAATAACAATAACGATAGTGAGTAATTTTTTATGATTAGCAATGGTAACAGTAAGATTTTTTAATAAATAATCAGTAACAAATAATAGCTTGTTAATTTTAAAATGTAACTTCTCTTGTATATTATAATTATTGTATTATATACATATATGATACAACTTAATATAATACAGACAACTTACTGTATACTTTTTAAAATATGTGAATTACTGTAAATCTTTTTTTATTTAAGAGTTCATTAGTCCAAGTTTCTTTATTTCTTTATTAAAAAAAAAATATATATATATGTCTGATCCAAAATACATTGATTTTTGTATTAATATGTTTATAAACTAATTTTATACAAGTTTTCTTAGCAAAAGTTTTTCTTACTAGTCTTCTATCTCCTAGAATACATCAGCTATCAAGTCGCAACTGATTCTCTAATTAGACACTCCACAGAGATATTTCTAATCATTTTTTTCTGAGACACATTTCTAGATATAGTATAATGACATACACAATATACACAGTTTTCACGTAAGACTACATATATTGTAACATATATTGTAATGCACTGAAATTTTAATATAATAAAATTTTATCACATTTTGTTTCACAAAATATTTTTGGCACAAAATATTTTTGGCACATAATTATAATTAACAATTATGTATTATACGAATTTTATGCTTTTATTTCAAACATCATTTATATTTTAGCCTGAATCTATTGGTATATCATATAGAAAATACCAATATTATACCTCATCAATATCTCATTGTACCTCTCAGAACAAAGAAAAAGCAGAGAGCGCTGATAGTCATCAAGTCTGTGTCTGCGTCTGTGTCTACATCTGCATCTACACCTGTACCAAAAATTATCGTGATCTTCAAAACACAGTTACATACATTAAATGTAGCTATAAATTATCTATCCACATTCGTAGCTAGCAAGTATAACAATTATAATATAATATAAAGGCAAAACAACAATAAAATAATATAAAGGCAACTGTATTCTCATTTATCAAGTTAAAAATAAAACTACCTATCTCCTCATTATGTTACAACTTTAACAAGAACCTTTATTTGATATAATCTTCAAAATTTTCGTGAAGATGAAGTGGTAACTTTTCTTTCGTGCAGTGGAAAAAGATTGCAAAAGGACTTATGTTACTATTGCAAATAATTGATATTATTGAAAATAATTCATTGTAAAAATTATTAACACCATAAGAAACAGAACAATTAATTTGCGATTAAATGTAGTGTTGGTATGACACGATTATATGTAATAAGTTGTGGTTATTTAATAAATTCTGATTTGAAATGGGATTGCAAATTTAAAAAGAAAAAAAAGAGAAAAAAATATTAAAGTTGATCTCAGACAGCACAAGATCTCCAGGGGATGTCCTGGAGACATTCTCAGAACGTCTTTAAGATATCCTGTAGAGATCTGTGATATTAAGAATGTAGGTAGAATTATGTTTAATGCTAATAGTAATGTTGTGTTAATAATCACTGTTTGTCTTAGTATTACGCATATATTCGCAAACCTGTCTCTAGGCTCCGAAAATCGTCACGGAAAATAATACGTGCCAAAATCTTCTTACTAAAGACGCCAAAATGTCAGATTAAATAAAGCCAAACTTTTACGTCACTAAATACTGAAAAAAAAAGAAAAATGATGCACTGAAGATACAACGAACTTCTTTATACATGTCGCGCTCAACTTCAGCCCTAAGGTCTCACAGCGCGCCCTTTTCCTCGCTATTGAGCGCGCGCCCCAATGAATGATCATCATGAATGACTTCAAAAATACGCTACGCAGCGTTGCCAATTATTTACGCACGCGCTGTAGAAGATCCCCGACGTGGCAACATGGAGTCGGGACGTTGCGGCCTCGGCTTTCCCATTTCGCACAGTCTCGCGAAATGAGGAACGCGTAACGTTCGAAATTAACACGAAAGGAAGAATTTGCGAGACGACTCGACATCACAATACACTGTGGTCTCTTGTTATGGACAGAGTGCTTCGTTTCTTCATCGTGGAAAGCCCGCCTGTTTCTCCGTATCGTTCTTGGTTCGATCGACAGCAACTCATTGTCTTGCAGCGTTCGTCTTCACGTCGCATCGCTGCTGACCGCCTTTGAGAATCTTCTGCCTTTTCAGTAGATTGAAAACAACAACAGGTAAAGAAACGAGAAACCCGTTCTACCTGTACGAATATTATCCTTTGTATCATCTCGGTCGAAGCGGTGTGTACTTCGAAAACACCCTACGAGCGAGCATTTCATTGTACGTTTCATCTCTCTCGGCGCTGATGGCATATAATTACATCTATCCTGGGTATAATTAAGAGCGCAATAATTTTGACAGATTCAGTAAATTGAAAGTAATATTCTGCGTGAGAAAAATCACTAAATCACCGGATAACGAAACGAACGTGGGTAGACAGAGTGATTTCGGAGCGCATCAGTGACGTATGCTGTCAAAAAGCCGGTAGATATATTTTTATCAACCCATCCGCGAGTTATTGATAACGAGAATATTCTACGTTTCCTGTTATTAAAGTGATTCAAAAGACAGATGGACGCGAGTATCTACCCATGGAAGCGCAGACGGGTCAATATTTCCTCTGGAGACATTGTTCTGTTTCTATATGACAGTTTAGTAGAAATTTATTCGAGGTTTATGCATGTTTTTATTTTTCTTTTTTTTTTTATATAACGACATGTCAAAAGCAAAGTCGTTTTACGGACATTGTTTGACATGGCTAGCTCTCAAATAAATACACATCGTAGTGGCAATGTAACCTTTTCTATGTATCTGCTATTATCTGTAAAATCTGTTTATCAGAACCACAAAGTTTGAGCTAAATGTTTTATCGGGTATTTGGTTTACATTTTGTTCCAAGATAATCTATCCATTAAAAGAAATGTACTAATGCATGACAAGAAAAAGCTCGTAAAAGTAACAAGACATTGAACTCGACACTGAAGAACACTTTTCTTTGTTTATCCTTAATCTCTGCCCGTTTTATGTTAACCTAAATTAATGAAACACATCGATCTCTCCTGAAGAATAGCACATAAGTGATATCGATCTCTCCTGAAGAATAGCACATAAGTGATATCGTTCATAAAACGCACTATATTACACAATATGTCAAAAGCGATAAGAGCCGTTGTTAAGTGGTGTTGACTCGTTACTCGCGCTTTTGCATAACTAATTCTTCTTTCGTGGGAGTATGATGCACGTCATTTTAGTTTAGTTTCGAAATATACTCTTGCAGATAATTGCTCAACTGTGTGTGAAATGAACTCTCACCAATGCGACGGTCAATGTTACAGTCGATCGAGATGACGAGTATCCGTAAGATTTGCGGCATTGGAGCCGGTTACGTGGGTGGACCTACGTGCAGCGTCATCGCGCTCAAGTGCCCGGAGATTCAGGTGACGGTGGTGGACAAGAGCAAGGAGAGAATAGCGCAATGGAACTCGCAGAAGCTGCCGATTTACGAGCCAGGTTTGGATGAGGTAGTGCAGAAGTGCAGAGGCAAGAATCTATTCTTCTCCACTGACATCGAGACGGCGATCAAAGAGGCCGATTTGATATTCATCTCGGTGAACACGCCGACCAAAACCTTCGGCAATGGCAAGGGTAGGGCCGCAGATCTCAAGTACGTAGAGAGTGCCGCCAGGATGATCGCGGAAATCGCAACCGGCGACAAGATCGTCGTGGAGAAAAGCACCGTGCCTGTAAGAGCAGCTGAGAGTATCATGAATATCCTGCGCGCTAATCACAAACCAGGTGTCTCCTATCAGGTAAAATCGCCGACTGCGATATCGCAATCACGCAATTCAAACAAAAATCGATCGTTTGTGCCTGTTTGCTCGTTCTCGTCGTTAAAAACGATACATGTGAATTCCGTCAGGTATATATTTCGCATGCACGTCATCATCGTCGTTATCGTTAATTGCACTACGACTGTGAATGTGAAACACCCTGTCCGTTTACCAATTGCGATATGCAAGTATTTTCCGTCAGGCAAAGTTTATCTGTAAATGAAATACTACGACATTCGTTTAAATAGTATTAATTGCGTCAAACTATTCGTACATGTGACTTTTTCAGTATTGTAATTTGCTGTATTTGTATGTGACACTTGTTGAGTACTTTCTGCAACTTGATAATTATACAAAGCAGGTGAAGTACCGCATCTCCGAAAGTGGAGCACTCGATATCTTGCACGTGGTGTGCACGCAAAGTTTTACTACTCTGCGCCTTTGCCGTGCTCGCTATTAATCAATTGTCGAATCGTCGGCAACGATCGCTTGTGATTTCGTACCCGCTTGAATTGATGCCGACCGTCCAAGGTAATACGCTCGCTTAATTCCTCCGTGTAACTGTTCATGACCTGTTTTACGCTCAGGTGTCAACCTTGGTACGACGCGTTGCGCGTCGATTTGTCTCTCGCACATTTCTCCAACTCGTACATTGTTTTCGAATTGTTTTCGTTAATCTAGCTACTCGATTATTTTTTAGATCCTCTCGAATCCTGAATTTCTCGCCGAAGGTACCGCTATAGAAGACTTAGTGAACGCGGATCGGGTACTGATCGGCGGAGAGGACTCACCGAAAGGTCAGGCGGCCATCGAGGAACTCTGCAAGATTTACGAGCATTGGATTCCAAGAGAAAATATCCTAACTACCAACACGTGGAGCTCGGAATTGTCAAAGCTGGTGAGCAGTTATTCGTTTCATATTCAATGATTGTATATATTCCAATCATGCAGCGAATAGACTGAGAATTTACAAGTAAATTAACATATATTAATATAAGAATATGAATATATCTCTAATATGTCTCTCTCTCTTTCTTTTTCTCTGAAACTAGTCTCTTTGAAACTAATTAATCCCTAGAAATAATGAATATTCATTGTCGGCTATTTCTCTTTGATTTTAGGCAGCCAATGCTTTCTTGGCGCAACGAATATCCAGCATAAACTCTTTGTCGGCAGTATGCGAAGCCACAGGTGCCGACGTGTCCGAGGTTGCACGAGCGGTCGGACTTGATTCGCGAATCGGTTCCAAATTCCTTCACGCGTCGATCGGTTTCGGCGGTTCCTGCTTCCAAAAAGACATTCTGAATCTGGTGTATATCTGCGAATGCCTGAATCTGCCCGAAGTGGCGGCATACTGGCAGCAGGTGATCGACATGAACGAATATCAGAAGTCACGATTTTCCGCGAAGGTCATAGAGTCCCTCTTTAACACTGTGACGGACAAAAGGATTGCGATGTTGGGCTTCGCTTTTAAGAAAAATACGGGGGACACGCGTGAATCGCCAGCGATTCACGTCGCCAAGACACTGCTGGACGAAGGCGCCGTACTTCACATTTACGACCCCAAGGTCAGACTTTTTCTCCTCCTTCATATGTACAAGATGTCCCAGATATTCCGCATGTTCTTTAATAATGGATTCCACGGCGAATTTTCGTCGGCGATTGTTCTTTGCGTTAAAAATCTTATCGAAATTCATCGTGAACCGTAATTTGAATTTTGTTAAACATTTTGACTTTAAATTAAATTTCATAAATACGAGAGAAATTAATGTCCTTTTGTCTAATATCTTCTCAAATTCTATATTGAATACTGTGAATAATACCATAACTAAATTATAGTGTCTAAATTTTCACTTAAATAAAATTGATTCGAAACTCATCGCAGAATTTACAATCAAAAGAATATGCGCGACTTGTAGACACCCTATACATACAGCAAATAAATCGTACAAGCATCTCAAGCAAAATTACACGTTTAAAGGACAATCACGTTCAGTTCAAGGAAACCGTATGTATTTCTTACGCCACCGTCCTTGAGTCGAGCAACGCGATTTTTGCGGGAAATATTAAAGATTCAATCATTTAATGCTACTGAAAGTTAATTGACTGCTCGAGAGGTCGACCGGTTTCAAGCTCTTCCGACGGGTGTAAAGTGAGGCGAGCTTTTTACACGCCACGTTGACTCAATAATGAGCACTTGCCAATGAGCGCATTATATTTCTTGTACGCCTTTCTAATCCGTAGGTCGAGGAGACACAGATTATCGAAGATTTGACTCATCCGAGTGTGACGAGCAATCCTGAGCACGTAAAAAGCAGAATCAGTATTTACAAGGACGCTTACAGTGCAACGAAGAACACGCACGCGATCGTGTTGTGCACTGAATGGGACGAATTTATCGTGAGTACTGTCTTCTGACAAATGGACGTTTGTGAAATTGAGCTTACGATTAGTCAGGATTACGCAGGAATGTTAATCTGCGCGCGGCTAATCCGCGTGACCACTTATCTGAGCAGTCAATCTTCTTTTTGATAGACTTCTTGCACTTTTGCTTAATAACTGAGAATAGTTTTATTGTGTATGGCTCTATGTAATAACTTAGAATAATTTGCTCGGTAGCTACAAATATACCTAATAAAATTAAAATTTTGCTAATTACTTTTTCACCGCAGATCTCTCGGATTGCCGGATTGAAATTTTCAAAAAGTTCACTTTAATGGCATTCTATTGTTTTAATGTGTGTCTCGATTAATGTTTCCAGGAGCTGAATTACACGCAGATTTATGCCGGAATGATGAAGCCAGCGTATATTTTCGACGGTAGAAAGATTCTGGACCACGATCTGCTGCAGAGGATCGGTTTCGTCGTGCAAACCATCGGCAAGAGACTCACCAGATCCGCGATTTCGAGAGCGTGGGGTAGCCAGACGCAAATTTAGGAGGAAACGGACCAATTTACACGCAATATTTCCAATTCGATAAAAGTAGTACTGATGACATAGTTAACGATATCTGCGAGTTGCTGCAAAGAGAGAATTTGCCGAATTAATTTATACAAACTGATGCATTTTTTAAATAAGAGAGAGAAAATGTGTGATTGTGTGAGTAAAAGGGAGTGAGTGAAAAAAATCAAGTCGTACTGTTTTAACGAGTATGTTTGTCTCATAACAAATATACCGCTACAGACTGCGCATCGTAATATAAACAATTCGAGATTACATGCAACGTTACTTTATGCTACATGTAAGTTTGTACAATTTCCTACAATTGATGCACAGACTGGATCTGGAAGCAGGAAAAGGCACGGTAATTGCAGAATAGCCCCTATAAGCTTTTTTGAAAATAGAAAATACAAATAAAGAAGATAAGATTTATAAGACATTAATAAACAAAGGATATCACAGTTTTACTTTTCGTCTTTATTCACTACAAATTTGCTATTATCTTTCAAGTGCCTCATATTATCTTCATGCTATCTTCAAAAAAGCGAGCGACTGGATCCGCCTGTGTTGTTATTTTAAATGACGCATTATGTAGCTATTCTAAACCTGCTTGAAGGGGCAAACAGACAAACAAGAAAATACGTTCTACTTTTCACGTCACAAAAATAACGTTCCTTTCGTTTCGTTTTAAGGTACATATAATTCTAAAATGTCACAGATGCCGCCACTTTTATTTACTTTCTCAGTTATACTCGTTTTAATAATTTGAATGGCATTTTGATATTTAGCATTGTGTGACAACGTGTTATCATGAAAATGTTCCACGCATCATCATGAAAAATTTACATACATATAATACACATGTAATAATAAGAGGGCATTTATTTTATTATCTTTATAAGACGTTAGATTTTCGTTCATAATTATATATATTATCATATTTATATTAATTGTTTATTGCAAAGCTTTTCTTTATGAATCTTTCTGTTTCTATCTAGTCTTCAATTTTATTCGGTAAATTTATACACACATACATATACATGTATGTATATATATGTATTTTTCGTTCGTAATTATGGAATAACTTATCTAAGGCGTTTTATGTGTTCGTCATCTGTCTCTTTCGTCAAAAGTATTTTGAATAAAATCTAGAATTATCTGCAGTATTATATTACGCCGGTTGTAGGCGGCGTTTGTTGCGATCAAAAGTTGGGCAATAGTATCTTAATGTTACTTATACTTTGACTATAACAGGCGTTATTGTAATACGATGACACTTTATGATAGTATTATCTAAAATTATTAAAATTTCTTTTGTAGCTGATAAATATATTGCATCAGGAATCAGCACGGTTATTATTTTTACAAAGTTGCGTTTTACTCATACACATATATAAGTAAATTAAATTTAACTATTGAATATGACGCGTATAGTTCGTAAATATACACTATCAAAGTTTATAAATAAATATTTATAAAAAAACATGTATGCGGTGAGATTAATGTCTCATCATATATACATATATATCGTAACATTTATTGAAGAAACTGTCACGAGTACAAACAGGAGAAATGATACCCAACCGAATCCTTGTTAACAAAAAAAAAAAAGAAAAGAGGCAAATCAAATCTGCACATACATTTGTAGTTTAATATTTCATATCCCCCGAACATACAATGTGAGAAACATTCGAAAACTAAAAGTATCTAACGCTCTTATTTTGCACATAATTCGCAACAACTTTTGTATTCAGTCTCGATGCAAAGTTGACCAGCTAAATCTTCGTATTTTGTGAATACGTGAACTTTGATGGTAATGAGATCAAAAGTACTCACTTCGACGCTAATGAAATGAAAATACAAACGGTGCATGCGCAAATTGCTTGGCAGTAGTGTATCAGTTTTTCGTCGATCTCTACGATAAATACGACGCATACACATATGTAGAAAGATATAGAATGAAAAAGGGCAACGATCGCAATGATTTTCTTTTGATATTCTATAAAAATATATTAAAAAATGAATATCCCCAAGAATCTTCAGATTCAAAATTTTATATAGCCAATAACGTCCTTCGTTTCAGAGCACGATAAAATCCTTAAAGATACAGTTGGGGAGTAATTTTAAATCAAAAGAAAGGCATCTCTTTGTTTTTTGTTTCTTTTTCTAATATTTCTGATTACACTAATTAAAACTCGCTACTTGCTTTAACTTTCGTATCTTCTCAACTGTCGACGCGTTCGCAAGATAGAATTTGTCAAAAGCTGTGGTGCTCGCACACTTAGGTACGATCCTGAAGAAGTACAGCGATGTGCTCCGAAGCGCTATCGGCCTGAAGAAGCAACGGCAGTAGCGGCAGCAGTAGCAGCAACACGAGTCGCTGGCCGACGATCAGCGTGAAAAGTTGCTCCAAGGTGCGATCCGCGTGACAACCGCGTCGAGGTTGCGCCGAGGTTGCGGAGTACTGACGACAACGACAACGACGACGACGACGACGACGACGTCGCCGACGAGGACGAGGAGTACGAGGACGTCGAAGACGATGTTGCGCGACGAGGCGCCGTGCTCGCAAGGTGGAGTCTGCTGACGCACGGTTACCAGTGGTATCCCCTCGTGGCCCAGCGGTGTGTTCCCACTGTGTCGTGAGCCGTTCCTCGAGCGTGTTCGCTGATCCTCGCGCAAAACGGACGGCAATCGGCCGGGCCTGTAGCGGTCGGTAGGAAAATGGCGGCGCGCCTTCCGCGACGGAGACGACGTCGCGCGACGGCGACGAGGTGCGGAATCTGAAGAATCGTCGGAAGAAGCACCCCGCGTCCACCGGCTTCACCGGCGGGGCTCTCCACCCCGCTACTCAGGGCGACAACCTCACGAGAGTGTGTGTGTGTGTGAGTGTGTGTGTGTGTGTTCGATCGGTCGAACGGCGAGCGCGCGGCGTGCTTACCTGGAGCGACGTGCGCTCCAGGCGATGTGAGCGCGGACGGCGCGCGTTGCGCTGCGCTCGTGCCGCAGGAAAACAACGACGCACCGACGAGAGATAGACGGCGGCGGCCCTGCTTTGCGTGCATTGCGTGCATTACGTGCGTTCGTGCATGCGTGCGTTACGTGCGTGCGTGCGTGCGGTGCGGTGCGACGCGACGCGACGCGACGCGCCGCGGTGGGAAACCGTGCTCTCGCTCTCTCGGAAGTGACGAGTGCTCTCACGCGAGCGCTCTTATGCGAGTGAGAGCCGCGCGTCCGCGGCATCGGCAGCTGCAGCAGCAACAGCAGCACGGCGAGCACGGTGACAAGTGTCGTCTGGTCGGCGGGGTGACTCGCACCACCACCATCATCATCATCGCCGCCACCCCCGCCGCGCTCCCCGGATGATGATACCGCGCTCGGCGGCAGCGGTCGCCGCCGCCCGCGCGACTCTCTCGCGGCCCTGCCGCGGTCGACGTTGAGCCACGGCGGCGGCGGTGGCCAAGGCCGGCGGGCCCCGCACGGCAACGACTCCACGACGTGACCACGGCGGACCACCGGCTCTCGCGGAAGCTCAGGGAAGATGAGGGGCGTCCGCGACGGCGGCGGCATGGCGAGCCTGCTCGCCCTGGCGCTCTTCTGTTTCTTTCATGCCTCGTGCCCAGTGGATGGTACGGTATTTCTCTGTTATTAGATGTGTCTCGCTGATGATGACGATGATGAGGTTGATGATGATGATACATTGCGCCGGTATCATTAGTATTTCCGCAATTTCGAACGCGATGGAGTAACATGAGCAAAGTTACGTTCATGAAGTTTCGATGTAAATGCAAAATGTGGAAATTGCAGTAATGCGATTGCAATTATATGGAATTTGCAACGGTTGCTTCGCGTCTATCGTGGGAAATGTCAGTCGGGTCGTTCAGTTTTGCGAAAAGCTTCGAAGTTAAAGTTTATCAGCCAAATCTGACAAGATACGTTTTATTTAAAAAAAAATCCATTCGTGTGCGTAGCACCGACTGGACGATCTTTAGTTGAAATTTAAATCTCAGAGTCGACTTCGCATGACAATATAAAATTGTATTGAGAAAGCTGAAGTGTCTACAATGGTATCTCGTGAATTTGTTAATCTTTAACGTATGATCTCCCGGACCTTTGACTTTCACTGTACGCGAAAGAAAGGGGCTGCATTGAACGTGTGCGTGCACTCGAACAATTCTCTGAAATAGCTATTTTTGCCGAAAGCTACACTCCAGGCTTAGAAAAGTGTACGCGAAAGCTCGAAGCTTGATGTAATGAAGAAACTATCGAGGAAAAAAGAAACGCGTTAATTTTAGCGAGCTTCTTCGTTCGAACGCGTTTCTGTTTGCTCCGCGCGTTGTATTTTGCGAACGATCCCTCCGCCACTGTGTGCGTTTTCGCGTGCGCGCGTGTGTGCGCGAAATCTCTCTCTTTCTTTCTTTCCCGTTCTCTTTCTGTGTGTTTTCATCGAGCTCCGTCTAGCTCGTTCTCCGTGTAACTCACGTCCCTGTCTCTTCCTCTGCCCCTTCGCTTCCAGTCTGCGTTCCTCCTCTCTCTCTCTCTCTCTCTCTCTCTCTACTCCTTTCTCTCTGTCCCACCCGTTCCCGCTCTTTCTCCCCTTCGACGGCGCGCACATAACGTTGCGTAAGTAACGCGCCGTCGTGTACAGAAGGGCCGTTTAATCTCGTTGCTACACGAGGTCCGAAAAGTATGCGGAAGGGTGAGCCGGTGCAACCGCTACCTACGAGGCGACTCTCCGCGCGACTCCGTTTTCAAGAGCCGTGTAGCATCAGGGCGCGCTTTCACCCTCCGGTCTACCGGTTACAGCTGTTTCAACCCTTCCGCGACGACTGCTTTTACTTCGTTAAAAATGTCTGGAAAAATGCGCACCTCGGATTAACCTCCGCGCTCATGCAATGCGCGATCGTATCGATGCTCCACCGGCTAAAATCGGGACATCTCGTGGTCACGCGATTCGCGCAAAAACGCGAAATGAAAGTAAAATTTATACGTTCGGCGATGTAACATTTTTTGCCCGCGGAATGGAGATTTTCTCGTTGTTCCCTTTTCCACGGCAGATCAATCAGGATAAAGCTGCTCGTAGCGCGGATGAAGCTTCATATTGCAGGTATTTTACTATTTTTTTTTTTTTTTCTTCATTCTTTCGCTTGCTCGTTCTTCCCTCTTTCTCTCTTGTTCGCCCGAGGATTAGAGATTTCTGTGCGTTCGTTCGCAATCAGATATCTATGCAATTCAAAAATAGACGATAGCTTCGAAGCGCGCGCGATGGTTATCCCCGCGTAATCTCCACGCTTGCTCGACGTTTGGCTCCGTTAAACAACCGCCTCGTGTTTCACTCCGGCGCGGGAGATAGTAAGCGAGTAACCAGTCGGATCTATGCTATTTATTGTCCAGATAACTGTTACTCTCCCTGTTGTGGGTGAGCGATCGCTGGTATAGCTCTTCCGATTTTTACATTCGCGCTGAATTCTTAGACTCGCCTCGCGAGTTCGTAGACCTTCGGATACGCGCAGCCGAAGCAATTCTCGCACCTAAAATAGCTTTTGGGAACATGGGGGTTGTGCTTTCGGCGCGAAGGCGCACCCTCTGCCCTCTCTCTTTCTCTCTCGCCAAGAATCTTCCGGTAGTCGTTTGATTTTCACGCGCGACCATTTCAATACGCATATACTCGGGACAAATTTAAATTACGAATAAGATCCTCCTTTCTTTCCTCCTTTCTCGCGTACACGCTCGCGCGCCCTCCCAGGCAGAGTGTCCTTTATTCGTTCTCTCTAATATATCTTCGTTATATGCACGCTTCTTGCGTCGAAACCGACGGCTCCGCTCTGATGAATTCGATGCTTGGTAATTGTCGTGCATGCAAATCAGGCTCTCCAGTCCTCATTGAAAAAGCAGCACACGCCCCGACGTTCTTGCGTCCGATAGACGAAACGCCGTGAACGACCGCTTCTTCTTCTTCTTCTTCTGCTGTTGCTGCTGCTGCTTCTTCTTCTTCTTCTTAGTCTTCTTCTTCTTCTTTCTCCTCCATCTCCTTCTCCTCCTCCTCTTGCTCCTCTTCGTCTCGTAGCGACCAGTACATTGTTATTCTGCGGATTCTTACGGGCCATTAGTGTTTGCAAGTTCGCCCGATAAAACGCTCATAGGTAGGTCGGCGAAAAGAGCTCCGTGCTATCGCCGCGACGATGTTAACGAGATTCCATACATACGTAGACGCGCGAGACGTCGTCGTGCACGTAAACGCATATCAAGTAACGTCGCTCGTAGAAGACGTATTAACGTTGTCAAAGGAGTGACTATCGACGAGACAACGGAAAAGCACGGGTAAACATGACATTTTCCTTTGTTTGACGCGATGACGATAATCGGAGTGCAGCATCGATCGTGTTGAGCGATCTCTGAATCGTATTGACAAATTAAGGTTTTGTGTTTCATTATCGCCAACTGTCGGTAAAATTTGAGAGATAAAGATAACGACAGGGGGAG